TTCTTTCTGCTTAGCTTTGCTGTGAGCTGAAAATACATCTTATAAATGAAGGACCCATGAGATGACTTAGAAGATGAAGTCGCTTGCTGCCAAGTCTGATCACTTAAGTTTGATCTCCGGGACCCACATGTTGGGAGGAAAGAACCAATTCTTACAAGTTGTCCTTCGAACCCTACGCAAGCACTATGGTGTGTGTGCCTGTTGCTCCAGATGCAGGGGTCCACTGCTTCTAGACTCTCTGGGCACCTGCACTTGTGTACACACACACACACACACACACACACACACACACACACACAACAGCACCCGGGAGTGAACCTGGGACTGACTGGTTTACCGCTTCCTGCCTGTCTCAGGTGTGGGCAGTGGCTAAGCATTAGGACATAACCAGGTGATTCCTCTCACAGTTCCAGATCACTCAGGTAGCTACCTGCTAAGACAGAAGGCACGGATATGGAATCCTTCCTGTGGCTCCTGTATAACTAATCATGTCAAAAATGAAAACACAGGGTTGAATTGAAGTTTCTGTACAAGTTAAATTGGTTCCCTGGGGACCCAAATATTTAATGTTTTCGTCTTAGTGAGAGAGAGATCCAGCCATTGAGGAGGCAGGCAAAAGTCCAAGCCCTGCACAAGCTGAAAAGGCTGCTGCCATTTGTCCAGCTCACTGCCCACGGCACAGCCCACCCTTTGAGATGAGTAACTGATGCCATGCCCTGATTCACATCCTTAGGAGGCAGAAGGGAAGGAACCTGGGTTTTTCTGCTAAGTGTTTCCTGCAGGCAAGATGCTCAGTTAGACCTCCTTAGAAATACTTTCACAGACACACCCAGGGGTGTGTCTCCATGGTGTTTCTTAATCTAGTCAAGCTGACAATGAAGAGGAACCACCAGCTACTTGAAATATATGTCTATACCTGTGTGTCTTTGTGATTTTACAAATGTATATATGTGTATTCATATGTGTATGTGTGTATGTATGTATGTATGTCTACGGTGTATATGTGTGTTTGTGTGTGTGTATCTCTGTGTGTGTGTATTTCTGTGTGTGTATTAAAGACAGTAAAAGTGGAAAAGGATTTCTGGAATGCTGCTTTTCTAGCCAGTCTACCAGACAAACACAGAAATCGGATTAGAAAGATTTGTACGAGCCCAGAGCCACAGAGCCCAGCTGGGGACCAAGCCCGGTACTTGTCCAGCTGTTGCTCATGCACAGCCTCTCGCTTCCTTGAGGAGAAGGCACTGACCTAACCAGCACAGTTGGCTGTCTCTCCTGCAGCTCCATCCCCTTCTGCCTCCCTGCTGCTGCCAGCCCCCATCTCCAGTACTAGGAGTGTTTGCTCCTCTAAGCCTGGAACTCCAAACCACAGCTGACCCCTGAGAGCAGTAAGGCAAGTATGCTGGGCCACCAGGCGATCAGGGCCGCCACTGCCTGTCAAGGCTATGAGAGCACACAGGGCTGCTCAGGAGAACTGGTCACTCAGTCACCCAGTATCAGCCTCAGAGGTGACCTCAGAGTGGCTTCAATCTATGACCTGACATCAGTCTGGAGTTGTCAAGCTTGGTCAGATGCTGGACTCATCAAATGAATGGCTTCTAGAATAGTCAAGGACCATCCCATTGTGCCAGGAAGTGATGATGTTTTTACAGGGCTGAGGATTATCTAGGGAAGGTGAACTGGGATAGGCAGTTAGAAACACACTCAAGACAGCGGCGCAAATGAAACACACGCGCATGCGCACGACATCGGAGGAATGTATTTCTTCAGAATCTGAGCAGGCAGCTTCTCTACCGAGGGGAGATCTGGCCTCATACCAAACCCTCCAGAAGCAATAGGGTCCTTTCTCCTCATGGTCCTAGGAGTTCTCATAAGATCTCTAGCAAGATGAGCTTTCCCCAAACCCGGAACCTGGACCGTTTCCATCTTTGCCACCAGAGGGAGCGCCAGGAACAGATTTGGGCCTTGCTTCCTCTAGGTTAACCACGCTACTACCTGCTGCCAGCCAACCAATTGAAAATGCCCAGCATTTTCCGGTCACTGCTGGCTTGTGGGACGTTTATGGTGGAATGATGCTGGGAATTCGGAATTACTGGATAGCTGCTCTCCTCTGTTTTTCTTTTATATTAATAGTCTGGTGTTCTTCCCAAGGCCACATCATTTTATCTCCCTCAGAAGCTGGGAAAGGTGCTTCCAATCAGAACCTAAAGCCAGACTCCTGTCACTTACGATCATGAAAGGATCCAGCCCCTCCACCCCCAACCTCTATCTTCCCCAAGCTATAGGTTTAGGGAGGTAGACAGGCTGTGGAATAAAGCGGGAGCCACTTCCAACTGCTGGGTTCCGCAGCCCTGTTTGACTGCAGACTCCACCTGAGCGAGGACTGCATGCTGTTTGGTTTTGACTTGATATAACCTAGAGTCAGCTGGGTTGAGAGACTTAATGAGGAACCCAGATCAGTTTGGGCTGGGGACGTGTCTGTGGGAGTTGCCTTGATTGCTAATTGCTGCAGGAAGACCCAGCCACTGTGGGCAGCACCATTTCATAGGCATGGGGTCCTGAGCAGTACAAGGAAAGAGAAAGCTAGCTGAGAGCAGGCAAGCAGCAGCAAGGATATGCATACCTGTTTCTCTCTGTTCTTGACCGTGGGTGGGATGTGACCTGCCTCAAGTTCCTGCCTCGACTTCCCCACAGTGATGGACTGTAACCTGGAACTGTGAGCCGAATCAACCTCATTTCTCCCCTATGTGTCTTTCTGTCACAGCAACAGAAAAGATACTAGAATGGATGAGATGGGTATCCAAATAACCTGCTTCCGGGATGGAGGAGGACCACAGCCCTGTGAAAAATTATGACAAATCCCACCCCAGATGACTCACTAGGGGAGCTGGGACGCAACAGTTTCTCATGCTTATTACCATAAAGAAAGCTTAGGATTGTTTTACGCCTCTAAGAAAACGTTTTGTGTAAATGTGTTTAATGGTTTGTGTGTGTGCACACATATGTAAAGGCCAGAGGTCACTGTTAAGTACCTTCCTCAATTGCATCCCCTCTCAAACTCTCTCTGATACAGGGTCTCACTGTATAGCCCTGACTGGTTCTGAACTCTCTTTGTAGCCCAGACTGAACTTACAGAGATCCCCTTGCCTGTGCCTCCCTGAGATTAAGGACATGTCAACAAGCCCGGCCTTGTCTTATAGTTGGAGATAGGGTCTCATGTTAAACCTGGAGCTCACCCGTTTGGTGAGGCGCTGGCCAGCAAACCACAAGGATCCTTTTGTCTTCATGTTCTTGCATTGGAATCACAAGAGTGAGCTGCTGTGATTTGGGGATCGTGCAATGCTATGTCTGATTTTTATTTTATTTGGTGTTTGGTTGATTGATTTGAGGTGTGTGTGTGTGTGCGTGTGTTGTGGATTCAAGGAATCTAATTCAAGTCCTCATTCTTGGATGGTAAGCCCTTTTCTATCTCCCCAGATAAAAATGCTCCCCTTTTTTGTTGAATAGCTGTAAAACCCAGATGTTCCTGTGAGTCCATTGCTCATTGGTTTCCATGCAGAACTCAAGGCTTCATCTACTGAGGTAGGCAGAGGAAATTGGGCTTGACTTCAGGTTTGGAAATTCAACAAAGATCACCTGCTATGGGTCCCTGAACTTGAAGGCAACCAATAGGCTACAAGGGGTGGGGGGGTGAACTTGTTACCATGGCCAGATTATCTTTCCTGCAGGAGACAGGCAATAGTAAAACAAGGCTTGGCAATGAATCCTGGGGGCAGTCCTGGGTTGCAGCCAGAGACCAAGTTCACAGCTCCACAGAGCATGTTCCTCTGTCTTCCCTCCTCACACAGGGCTTCCCTGTCTCAGGAAGTGCAGCGCGGCAGTTTGGATTAGGTATCATCTCTGTTACACAGATGCGAAGGAGTCTTGCCTGCATCTCAGAGTCCCTGCTGAAGTGGGTACCAGATTCCAAATCCCCAGTACTGACAGTCCCAAGACCAAACAAGCGACTTCATGAGCCGAGGTTACCACCAGACAACTTCATGAGCCGAGGTTACCACTACGCAGATGATGCAGGCCTAGGTACTCCTGACTGAACTTGGGCTCTGGGGATCTCTGGGTAAGCATCTACAGAAAAGGAGCCACCTCTGGTAGGGAAAACATTTAGCAATGTCTGGGGCACTCTTGAGTAGAAGAGGTTGTATTTGCTATTCACTATACAGTCCTCCTTTCCTGACTCCTCACCCTCTCCTCCACTCTCATTAGCTCAAAGACAGCTGTTACGAATCTTGTCCTTAGGAACAGGGAGTGGTTGAAGCATGCATTAGTTACTTCACTGTGGCTGGGACAAAATACCCGATGGAGGCCCTTAAAAGGAGGAGGGGTTTCTTTGGGTTCACAGTTCCATAGTGAAGAGCATCATGGAGAAGTCCTGGAGCATGACCGGATGCTCACATTGCATCCACCCAGGGTTGGGAAGCGGAGAGACCGATGTTCAGTTCTTCTAACTCCCATTCAGTCCAAAACCGAAGCCCACAGAATGATTCCACAGGCATGCAGGGTGAGTCTTCCAAACAGTCCAATCTTGAAACACAGACACAACCAGAGTTTTGTCTCCAAGGTGATTCTAGATCCTTTTGAGTTGACAATCAAATTAATGATCACAAAACATAACTACACAACATGAGATTCCTGCTGGGTCATTCAGAAACAAGTGCTGTATTTCAAGGCTAGCCTAGAGCAGCAATTTTGTCACCACAGGAGAGTTAAAGGACAGAGAATAGACGGATGATGCTACCGGCTGTGTCTGGACACTGTTATACTTGAAGTCAGTGTATGATCCATAGAGCGGCCTTCTTGTCTCTCGAGCCATTCTTAGGTGCTCAAAGGCCCTAGGCAGTGTATAATCCCTCGACGGTCAACACCAGCTATCCTGTTATAAAACCCTCTGCTCTTCCCATCGCTCATCGCCCACACGGGCCGTCCAGCCAACTAACTTTCGGACCATGGCCAACCTCGAGCATACCTTCATTGCCATCAAGCCAGATGGCATGCAGCGCGGCCTGGTGGGCGAGATCATCAAGCGCTTCGAGCACAAGGGGTTCCACCTGGTGGCGATGAAGTTCCTTCGGGCTTCTGAGGAACACCTGAAGCAGCACTACATTGACCTGAAAGACCGTCCTTTCTTCCCAGGGCTGGTGAAGTACATGAACTCCGGGCCCGTGGTGGCCATGGTCTGGGAGGGGCTCAATGTGGTGAAGACAGGCCGAATGATGCTGGGAGAGACCAATCCAGCTGACTCTAAGCCAGGCACCATTCGAGGGGATTTTTGCATTCAAGTTGGCAGGAACATCATTCATGGCAGTGATTCAGTCCAAAGTGCAGAGAAGGAGATCAGTCTATGGTTTAAGCCTGAAGAACTGGTTGACTAAAAGTCTTGTGGTCATGACTGGGTATATGAGTAGAGATGATAGTTCTCAGCATTACTGATGGATCCCTGGGCACAACTCTTCATTCCACAGAATGGATCATCTTTTCTAAAACAATAAAGACTTTGGAACTGGAAAAAAATAAAATAAAATAAAACCTCTCATCCAATTCTTCTTTTATAAGGTTTGTTTATTTATTACGTATATAGTGGTCTGTCTGCATGCACGCTTCCACATCAGAAGAGGGCACCAGATCTCATTACAGATGGTTTTGAGCCGCCCTTTGGTTGCTGGGAATTGAACTTAGTACCTCTGGAAGAGCAGTCAGTGTTCTTAACCTCTGAGCCATCTTTGCAACACCCGCCCCGCAACCCCTTCATCCATTACTTCAGGGTTTGCCCTTTATTTCCACCCCTCTGGAAGCTTGTCCCAGACTCTGTTTTTTCTCCTGTCCAGACAAGTTGGTCCCTGCACAAGGAACAAATGCTGTATTTGTTACTTTTTTCCTCGTTACAACAAAGTATCTGACAGAAGACAGCTAGCTCGAAGAAAGAAAGGTTCCCCTGCCCCCCCCCCCCCCCCCCACACACACACAGCTTGACAGAACAGTTCATCCTGGTAGAGAAGGCAGGATGGCAGGAGTGTGAAACAGCTGGTCACATTGTATCAGCAGTCACCAGACACAAAGATTAAGAAATGCTGGTGTTCAACTCCCTTTCTCATTTTAATTTAGTCCAGGATCTCATTCCATGGGATGGTGCTGCCCACATTTAGAGTAAGTCCCATCTCAGTTAAACCTCAGAGACACAACCTGAGCTATTAAATTGGTGCCAATTCCTATCCTATCAAATTGACAGTGAAGAACCACAGAGACCATCAGAAAGCAGCCAGGTCTCTCGCTGATGCCCAGGTCCGTCTCTCTGTGTTTGTGTAAGGATATGTATGTGTTTTCACAGTGTCTTTGAAGGGATTTTTCTGGGCACTCATTCCTCCAAACATCCACATCCTAACATTTTCTCAGCCACCTACCCACTCACTCTTCAACAAAATACAGCAAAAAATGGCTGTATGGAGGAGGTGTGACCTATTATCCCAGAGCCTTGGCAGTTAGAAAAGTCTCATGTTTGGGGGAAAACATCTTTGATGAGGCTGTGTCTGAAGTCTCTGCATTTACCTGTGACCTTTATTGTCTCTGTTTCCCAAGGCCTCACATGTGTAAGCACCATCCAAAAGTGCAAAATCAAGTGTATTTCAGGAAAAGACGTTTTCCTATCCTCAGGTTCCTAGAAAATTGCTCCCCGAAAGCTCTGAGCACTGGCCGTGAGCTGTTTGTTTTTTGAATAGCTCCATGAGCGAGTCTGCTTTGTGTCTGTCATTCCACTGCAGCCAAAGGTGGCGTTTCTTTTGTTTATAGTATTAGTGTTATATTGTTGGTGATCTCATTGTTCTTGTTTGTGACATGTTTACCTCAGTAGGACGGTTATTGTAGATGGTGAGTCGGGGGCCAATCTACCCACCAAACCTGCAGAACTAAAGAAAAAGACTCCAATCTGTCCGGCAGGGTGCATATTACTGCTCTCTTGGATTGTTAAATTCTAATTATAGGCTGTTGGTCCCTGTTAGAGGCATTTACAAGCCTAAATGCTGTTCTGCAGAGTCTTTTTGCCAATAGGTGTGTTTTCGCTGTTGTTGTTTTATAAAACACAATGTTTGCACATTTGGAGGAGCAGAGCAGGTGAGTGTTCTCTAACCTGCTGGATGGGAAATAGGTGAAACATGACTCAGAACCAAGAGATGGCAGAGAAAAAAGTCTACCTCGATTTAGTATTTATTTAGGAGAAATTTCTGGAACCCTTTTCTAGGTCTTAGATCAATTGATTCCTTCTAAGGGACACTCACTCTGACTCTGCCTGGGAGTGGTGGCATCCCAAAGAATTCCCTGTGGGTGTCCCAGTTAGTCACTGTATGGAGCTCTAGACATCACTGTCTGTGAACAGCAGGAAAGTCTGCAGAGGGGTCAGGTTGGAGCCACCAATGCCTCTCTCAATGCTTAGTACACGGTAGGCACTTAGTGTATTGTGTCATGTGTGTGGCATTTGACACGGGTTAATTATGACAGAGAAGAAAAACAGAAGGCCTCGTTCGTAAGAACTGTCAGGTGCAGACATCAGGAAATTGTGTAGGGTGTGCCAAGTAGAATTCAGAAAACATAGTGGACCTCATCAGGAAGGATGAGCAAGATAAATGAACTATATGGTAGGACAGACCAGAGCTTAGTGTACAGGGAGAGAGAGAGACAGTGTGTGAGGTGTGAAGGTCTACATCGGGCTGACAGCACTGTTCCTGTCCCCTAAATCAGCCACCAAATACATCCTACACCAAAGGCAGGAGGAAGCCTCTGCATGTCCAGTCCTGATGCAGGTGCTGTTACCAAAGCAGGGGAACAGAATCCTAAAGCAAAGTGGGTGCCATTGTCATAGGAACCATCTGTCTACCAACTCCCTTCACCCTCCCTCAGCTATAGGCCTTGCAGTAACCACATCAAAGATAGTGTGGAGAGAGATACAGAAGAGACTGGAGATGGTGGAGGATTGGGCTGGCTACCTGTCCTGTTGCTGTGATAAACATCCAGACAAACATAGTTTACGTAAGTCATGCAGTGTGAGAGTCCAGTCTGCCATGTAGGAAGACATGGTGGCAGGAGCTGGAGACAGCTGGTCACACTGCATCCACAGTCAGGAAGCAGTAGGTGGTGGGTACTGATGTTCACCTTGCTTTCTCTTTATTATTCATTCTGTAACCCCAGTCCAAGGAAAGACACCCATGTTTAAGGTAAACCTGCCCATCTCAATTAACCTAATATAGATAATCCCTTACAGGCACAGCCAGAGATTTGCTTCCTCCACAACTCTAAATCCATCAAGATGATAAGACTACTCATCACAAAGCTAGAGACCACAATGTAGATGTGAGCAGGAAGGAGAACAAGAGAGGAAGGGGGGAGGGAGAGAGGAAAGGAGGGAGGGGGAAAGAGGGATGGAGAGCAGGAAAGGGAAGGAGGGAGGGAGAGAGTGGCATATTATATAACCCAAAACTTAAAGACCATCTCTTTCCTATTGTATCTTATTGTGTTTCAAATTTATTCAGTGCACTGTGCAATCTAAGCATCTAGCGATCTAAACTTGATCTTAACCTTTCTATTTTATTGCATCCAGAACAGCTCGCCTGGTGATGTATTCAGAGATTAATTTCATGTACAACACATGAAACGATGCATTGTGAATTCTCTGAAAGAACTGCTGGTTAGGGTGGAGTTAAGGTTAAACCAGTTTCTAAATCTAGCTTCCAATAGAAACAAGTCATTCAACAATTATCCACTGTGTCATGGGCTAACGATACACTGATGGGAAACCATGACCTTTGCTCTCACGAAGCTCACAGTGGCAGAAAGACAGTGGGGGGAAGAAACACCAAGAAAATGTAAAGTTTGAACAATGGCAAATCCTGTGAAGGAGGCCCAAGGATCTCTGAGCGTGTGACTCAGGAATGTGAGCCATTCAAAGAGGGTAGGAGAAAAACAAAGCGAGAAGTCATAGGTGTTGCAGGCAGAAGGTTTGAACTGTGCAAAGACCACGCCATATGAGGATGTCAACCACCATGAGCACTGGTTCCTATGCTGGCTCTCACGCTGAATGCAGGAATACAGACCTGACCCATGACAGGCACAGGAAAACAGAGCCAGAAGGGTCGCTGGAGAAACCTGGGGTCCTAACTCAGTGTCTTTGTTTCACTCTGGCTTCCACCATACCTAAAGCGTCATGATCTCTGGATAAAAAGCTGACCACATAGAACTAGGACTATATCTCAGTGGTAGTTGGTGGCCAAGGAGACATGAGGCCCTAGCCTCCCACCCCCACCCCTGCAAAAATTGGGCAAAAACTTTCCCTGGCTCCTGAAACTAATTCAAAAGCTTTGGCGCTCTAACTCAATCCCAGTTTTAAAGTCTTCACTACTAACACCTCACTGAATTCCAGCCATGGGGGAAACAGTCAAGATACCTACCTCTTCCCTGGCCTATGCCAAACTCTGCAGGAATTACTTCTCATCTTCATAGCAACCACATGAAGGAACCTTAGTACTCAGAGAAGCTGATGAATACCATGCCTAAGTCGTCCCGCTAAGTGGGACGGTTCAAGTCTACAGCTATAAAGTCCTATATAAACCAAGATACACAGCTGCAGATGAAGGTTTGGAGGACAGGGTTGATGTCCATGATGCTCAGACAGGCCTGTCTTGGTGCTGAGGTTGTGTGGTTGGTGTTTAAACTGTCTCTGGGAAGGACATGAACAAGTGTCCACACACCCCACATAGGGAACCCAAGACTGACTAAAGAAAGGATTCCACCAAAGTCCATAGTGAACCTGTGAGTTTTATTGGGGTTTGCACTGGCTGGTTTTGTGTGTCAACTTGACACAGGCTAGAGTCATCAAAGGAGGGAGCCTCAGTTGAGGAAAGGCCTCCATGAAATCCAGCTGTAAGGCATTTTCTCAATTAGTGATCAATGGAGGAGGGCCCAGACCATGGTGGGTGGTGCCATCCCTGGGTTGCTGGTCCTGGGTTCTGCAAGCCAGAGGAAGCAAGCCAGTACGCAGCACTCCTCCATGGCCTCTGCATCAGCTCCTGCCTCCAAGATCCTGCCCTGTTTGAGTTCCTGTCCTGACTTCCCTCAGTGATGGACAGCAATGCTGAAGTGTAATAAACCCTTTCCTCCCCAGCTTGTTCTTTGGTCATGGTGTTTCATCACAGCAATAGAAACCCTACCCGAGACAAAGTTACTCCCAGGACTGTGGGTGAGGGGTTGCTTTGTAGTCGCAGAAACGGCTCAAAGAGAGCTGTTGTCATGTAAGCCCACTCCAGCATCTGCAGCAGCTGTGGGAGCTGGAAACCTGAAGGTAGCTTGACAGGTTAAAGTCTGTCCTGGCAGGCAGACTAGTCTCTGCCTT